CAGCTTCTGAATGGGTCAAAGGCAAATCCATGGAGGAAGTCCTGACCATAAAGAACTCGTAAGTGCCATTTATATATAAATTATTGGATTTAGTCTAATGATATATGATGATGTTGGTTTATTAGTGTGATTGCATAAGCTTCAATAAGCTTAAAATCTTGACAATTATTGATAAAGATTTGATGGTTATGTTTATTGGAGAATAATACTCAATGTGGTAAACTTTGTAGGCAAATCGCGAAGCATCTATCGTTGCCTCCAGTGAAGCTACATTGCAGTATGCTTGCAGAAGACGCTATCAGAGCAGCCGTTGAAGACTACAAGAATAAGCAAGCCGAGGCTAATGGAGAAACTGTCGAGGCCTGATTCCACTAATCTATACCGTATTTTGGATCATTATGGAAACTAAATGATGATGTTGAAGAAGAGTTTTCAAGGAATGGTAGTGTTTTGTTTTGTTTAGAATTTTACTTGTCAAGTACATTTAATGTAAACATCTGAGGATGTTTCTATTGGGTTTTGACTCAACTGAGGATTGTTCTTGTTCTTCCCTGTGGGTTTTGGAATAATGGGTGCTCTTAATTGGAATACCAATATCCGGTTAGAAACCTGGTCCTGGTTCCGGTTACAGCTCGTTTTTGTTGGTTTAACATTTAACTTTGGGAAGTGTACGGATCTCAATCTAATGACTAATGTAATGTTACTTGGAAGATGTGTATATTTCACCCAATGGGATTTTCAAACACACTAAGAATGCAAAGGACCAACACCAAATTTTGGGAAAATTCATAGGAGAATTGGGTGTCATAAAATATGGTCTCCTCAGGTAGAAGCATCTTTGGCAATAGGCTTTCCTCCAAATAAAGGATAGGCTTGACCAAGGCCATTCTTTCGTTACAGCATTAAGTAACATCCCCTGTGCTGGTTGTGTTTGTGCAATGAGCACATTGTATAATTCCTTTGGTTTTGCAACATGTGAAGAGCCCTGACAAAAGTGACGTCTCCTGACATGTTTTCCATGATTACCATCAGATTGGATGGTTGAGCGTTGTCAAATGCCCAACCAAGGAAGTCCTCTAACATCTCTCTCAATCTAGTTTTATGATGGCCGTTTTAATGTTCTCTGAAACTTGAACAGCATCAAGACCTTCCGGGGATTTTGCAATCCTCCATGTCCCAGAATACGACTGTCTTGTAAGTCGAGGCATCCATCTGAAAGAAA